AGTGGTGGTGTTTCAGGTCTCGGCGGTATATTACCTTGTTCATCAGTTGAAGCCACGTCTTCTAAATTGAGATAGTTTGGGTTCTGTGTGAATACATCATCATCATCATCATCATCCTGTTTCAATTTTTCCTCTTTTTTAATAATAAATGAAGGATGCTGCTGAGTCTTAGCTATTTGCTTAAGAGGTTCAGATATTGGTTTGAAAAGTTTTCTAATAGATTCATCTTCTGCAGTTCGACCTAACTTTAAAGTAAGATACTTTTTACGTATAGCTCGAGCAAGTTCTGCGATCTTTCTTTTATGACTAGCAACGGCAACTTGGTCCTTTGACATCATGTTACTGAATGATGGCGTACATGATAAGCCTACAATTTTATGTACTTATCAAATCCTACTCTGTATCGACCATAATTAAGAGGAAAGTCTTTAACAATAACTAACGTACCGTACTTTTCTGCCCAACATTCCGAACACATCTTTTTGAATCATCTGGAGATACATGCTCATCAAATATATGTTTTAGATTAATTTCATCCTGCTTAAATAGTACTATAATGTTACAGTTGTCTCGTATGAGCTGTTTTGGAATTTTAGAGTATGTTTGGCAGAGATATGCAGCATCGATATCTTTATGACGACACATGGAGTAATACTCTCGAATTTTCTGCTGACCGTCACACGACACGTCGTCAAATATGAATATAGAGCTATTTTTAGCCTTACTTGGACTTATAATTTCCTCGTTATCCTTAAATGGGAAATAGCCAACACCCTTAGCAGCGGAAATCACTTCTTGAAGCAGTTGATACTTTGGTTGATACAACGATTTTGAATAAACGTAAACATTTTTAAACTTAGCACCGTTTGGATGGAAAAGCAGCGCCAGCATTACGTTCGTTTTTCCACATCCGCTTGGTCCGCAGATGATAGCGCGAAACGAATTCGGTAACAATTTACCATGTTTACTATGTTGAGTTTTTGCTGTAAAATCCAAGTTATCAATGGGTAATGACTGCTCTTGTTGAACAACCTTCATCGTGTGGCGTTCGAATAAGGAATGTGTAAAAGTATATATGTAGATATTGCTAACGCATCATCAACAGTTCTCATGTTAACGTACAAGGGTGAAGGTGTTGTAAACTCTCTGATAAATAATCTTCCGATAGAACTCCACGTACCTTCGTATCAGTTCCTGGGACGTAAGTGTGCGACAGATTAGGATATTTTTTTTTTCATTCTCACACATGTATATGTATATTTTCAGCGGGGACTAAATTAAAGAAGAGGTTAGCACGAGGAGATCCTGGAAAGAACCCATTGGATCGTGCTGCAAGAGACCACGATATTGCATACGCCTTATACAAAAATTTGAAAGACAGGCACAAAGCTGATTGGATTCTTGAGAACCGAGCCTGGGAACGTGTAAAAGCACCTGACGCTTCACTAGGAGAAAAGACTGCAGCTTGGCTAACAACCACCGCAATGAAAGTTAAGCGAAAATTGGGTATGGGGCAGAAGAAATCATCTTTTCGACGAGGTGTTCTCACGAAAATCACAAAGTCCTTGAAGAAAAATGCTCCCACCACCACGACATTAAAAAAGTCTGCATTGGTTGCTCTTAAAGCGGCAAGATTAGCGGTGAAGAGTGCAGGTGGAAAACATAAAGTTCGACTACCGAGAATAATTCCGATCGAAGGAAAATCTGGGGGATTCCTACCCTTGATCCCCCTTTTCGCCGGATTAAGTGCCTTGGGGGCGCTCGCAGGGGGAGCTGCAGGTGTGGCCAAAACGGTCGTTGATGCCAAGAATGCACAAAAGAAATTGGAGGAAGACCATCGCCATAACAAAGCTATGGAGTCTTTGGGCAAAGGATTGTATTTGAGAAAAAATGCTAAAGGTGGTTATGGGTTGTACCTCAAAAAAAAAACTCAAAAAAACTAAACATCAAGCTACCCAAGAAAGCGCTTTATGATTATGAAATAAAGCAATATGGGAAGCTCTTGAACATACCTCATTTCCGAGGTGTCTTCATGCGTGACACTTTACCACGAGACGGTCCACGTAAAAGAGAATGCGCCGTCGTGAACTTAGATATTTCACAAAACAACGGAACTCATTGGGTAGCTTATAAAAAGATAAACAACAACGTTGAGTATTTCGATTCATTTGGTAACCTGAAGCCTCCACAGGAACTTGTTCGATATCTGAAAAACGCTAAAATTTTCTACAACAACGATCCTTACCAAACTTATAATCAAGTTAATTGCGGACAATTGTGTTTGAAATTTCTATACAATAAAAATAACAACAACAACGATGGATAATAAAACATTATCGGAATTTACATTAGAAGAGTTTGAGAAGAATATTCCGCCGCTGGAATATTTAATAAGCAATGTGAGACCTGCAGAATTGTTGAGTATATGGCACAAACTGCCTGCAGAATACACATCCAATTTTGATCTTCAAATACGACTTCCATGCTATGTTCACTACAACAGACCTGATTGGGCAACACATTGGGATGGACCGGCTACTGCTCAAGCAAATTGTTATTTCTGTAAATTATCCATTCGAAAATAAACAAAAAAAAAAACTTGAATAAATGCTTAGTACACAGCTATATTTTTTCATTCATCATGTCGCAGTTGTTGAGAGTCAATAGCACTACTCATATATTTTCATTTCGTCCTTCAACACCGATAGTGTTGGATCCGAAAAAAGATTATGAATTGGCGCTTAGGTCTTTTACTTCATACAATTCCATACCGAATATTGAAAAAGGAGATAAATTTTATTATATCGACCGGATAGGTGGTGGTGGTGGTCAATTAAAAGTCATCGAGTTTCCGACAGGTTGTTATGAAATTACCGACATAGAAACATTTATACGAAC